ACTTGTGGCACCTTAGAGACTAACAAATTTATTAGAGCATATGCATCCGAAGAAGTGGGCTGTAGTCCACGAAAGCTTATGCTCTAATAAATTTGTTAGTCTCTAAGGTGCCACAAGTACTCCTGTTCTTATTACATTAGAAGGTACTGTATTACAAGTAAAATGTAATCTTATAAAAGTAGTAATAAAATATTGTAAATTACAGGAACTATGCAATTTACATAGACCAACTTTAAAGTCATGTCAGTGTAACCTAAATATTTCAGTCATTTGCAGAAAAATGTATGAAATATTCATATATATTTTTAATTAATCAAGAATAAATAACCATATAAACAAAAAATAGCTAAGAAAAGACCAACAGTACACCATCTGCACCAACTCATGCCAGTTACGTATACAAGTCAAAGATGTAGCATTAAGAGTTTCAGATTTGCTTTATATACATATATAGTTCTGGACAAATAATGTTAGAACTGCACAGACAAATGAGTCTCTGAAGCTAAGGGAAGGTACAGTGACACAGCAAGACAAATAAAATCAGGAGGAAATTTATGTTCAATGTGAAATAATCCAATGCACTGGGAATTATACCATTGTGAAGGAGGCAGTTGAGAAATGAAGGCTTCCAAAGTTTTTAGTTTTTTCTGCAAAGTTCAGTAATGACTCCTGGATACTGTAGTATTGTAACTTTTATTTTTTTCAGTAGGATTTGTTTTTAAATGCCAACGTATTATTGATTTTCTGAACCAGATATCCCGGGAATATATATGGATGTAGAGATTTCCAATTTGCCACTGAAATCATCTGGCCTCTTCTTTCAAGGGAAGAATACACTGTTTGCTCAATGGTAAAAACCCTTCTTTCCTATCTCATTCCCTCTGCATATATTTTTATATCATGTCCATCACTGTATTATGTCAGCCTACTCCATGGGCAAATCTGGATTTGATTACTACATATGTGTAAAGTTACTTGCATATTTGCACTTTTTGCAGCAGAAGTCAAATGGCCAGATATAGAGCTATGTCTGTTTACATGAGCGGAAGAGTGACCTAAAATCTAATTGATTCATATAGTAAAATGTCCTTAGGCCTTGTCTGTTCTAGAAAGGATTTGCTGGTATAGCACTTGGAAACTCAGACTTTTGCTGGTATAGCTTATAGTAGTTCCCTGAACTAAATAAGATATACACGCAAAAGGACTCTTGCTAATATAACAGTGTCTAGTATTTTTCCTGTCATAGTCAGGTGGAGTGTGAATCTCCCCCCACCCCCAACCCAGTTACACTGGCAAATTTTTTAATTGTAGACCAGGCCTTAGAACTCAGTTGAGAACTAACACTCCCCTTACATGGGCAAACCATATCACAGATAGTGACCATTGACATGCTCACTGCATGACTGGGTGAGCAGCCTCAGTGGGACCACTGTTGCTTCTCCCATGCAGGTGAATGAGTGAGTAGTGGCTCAACATCTAATTGATTCACATGGTACAACTCCTTTAGGCTTTGTCTATACTAGAAAGGGTTTGCTGCACTGCCCCAGAACAGGCAGGTGTGAGGAGTGGGCAGAGCATTGGGGCCACCCTCACAAGGGGAAGCCCAGTTGCTGCACTTCCTCCAAGGCACCAGAAATTCTCTTCCACCTCCTGCACTAGCCTTTCTATTTTGTCTTCAATGATCGTAAATGTAGCATCCAAGCTCACAGAGACTCTTAGACCTGCATGTGCCTTCCTCCTACTCAACATTTATTACTGTGTTTTAATCATTTTGTTTAACTGACTATAAAATACCAGAGACACTTTTATACTGCAGCACAGCATAAAGGAGAAACTTGACTTAATACCATAAGTAAAAGAATCCAAGAGATGGGATTTTTAACTGGGATTGCAGGGAATTTTTATGGGATAATAAACAATGGACCCAATAAAAAAACACTCCACACAGCATTAGTCCATATTTTCTATGTGTATGAAAGAGTGTGAATGAGAAAGAGAAAATGCAAGAGTATAAAAACAACTTATTATGAAATTATTAACATACGTAAAATTTTTATACAGTCCACATTAATAAAACAAAGTTTATTGTAGAGTTGCCATCCAAATCATTGGGATAAACTCAATATGTAGGTTTTTGTGTCCTGTCCTACAATAAGCAAAAACTAAACTTAATTTTGATCAGAAAAGTTGTAAGCCAATATCATTGGATCACAAAATAAAATGATAACTTATGCTGTAATACTGAAATTGGACTACACAGATCTGACTGCAAAATCAAGGCCTTAGTGACAGCACTGCATCGGAACATGCACACATGGCATCATGTCACAATTTTCACCCCATACAACAATCTAGGAAAAATATCAGCTAAAGCTAGGAAATTTTTTCATGATTTTTTTTTCCAGTGAAAAATGGGGTTTGAGCTAAACAGAATTTTTCATGAGACAATTACAGTTTTTAATTGATTTTTTCAGCAAATTGAACTGATCTTTTTATTATTATTTATTTTATTTGAAAACCAAATCACCAAAAATGTTTCTGGTTTGGGTTTTTTTAGGAAAACTTGACCCCCCCCCCAATTTATATTAAAAGAGTCTGCATTTGCTTTGAAACTTTTAGTGGAAACTAAAACACATTTTTTTACTAGCTCTAGTAGCTAGTATTTTAAAACTTGTAGTAAAATAATTATACCAGAAGAAAATGGTGTGCTTTGTTTTCTTTGGGTATAATCTGATCTTTTCTAACTAATGACATGTTGCAAAATACAGCAAAGATATATTGAAGGTAAAGTACTGCCATGACACAATCTTCTCCCATAACTCATCTCACCTTCTCAGGCTCATTAAGCTTTCCTTGTGTCTACACTGGCCTGTGCTAGCTTCTTACAGCGTCTTTGGGAATGAGCATCACAGTTCCCTTGCTTTTGACCCAATGCTCAAGCAATTGTCTCTATTCTCATTTTGAAATCAGAGATTCCATTCTCTTATTATTATTTATTATTTCTATTATCATAGCACCTAGGAACCTCAGTTATGGACCTGGACCCCATGGTGCTAGGTGCTGTACAAACGTAGAACAAAAAGACAGTCCCTGCTGCAAAGAGTTTACAAGCCAAGTACAAGAAAAGAGACAACAGATGGATACAGACAGACCAATTGGGGAATAGAAGAAAACAATGAGACAATATTGGTCAGCTTGATAGGGAGTGGTCTCTGCACATCAGCAGCCTAGACACTGTCAAGTTTTAGGCATCCTTACAAAGGAGAATTTTGAGAAGGGATTTGAAGATGAATAATGAAGTGGCTTTGTGGATGTTTATGGGGAGTTTCTCTCAAGCATGATAAGAAGAATGAAAGAAAACATGAAGGTGCTTACTTGAAAATGTAATAAGTGGGAGATGGAGGCTGGCATCATTGGCTGATCAGAGACAGGAGCTGACAATCTCGACAGTGAAAGACAGAGGATAGGTAGGGTGAGGATAGGCCATGAAAGGCCTTGGGTACTTCCAACAGTTGTTATCCCCAGCAGAGTAATCACAACAATCCAGTTCATGGTATCTTAGTTAAAAGTTGGTTTATTAGAGAAAATTATTTTTAAAAAACCCTATAAATATGCTTCCAAATAATATTGCTAAAAAGCACTGAGCAGGATAACATCTCTATCTCTTGCAAATATTTGTACATTTACTTCACTGTTCAAACATTTGTACTTACATGCTTTCTTGGTTTTCCATGTGTGTGTGTGTGTGTGTGTGTGTACACCCAGTACTGAGTAGCCAGGTGGGTGAGGTAATATCTTTTAACAATGATGTACCTAGTACACAAATTTATCCCTTGATAGAGCAAGATCATTTTTTGGTGGGGGAAAACAGAGTCAATGCTCCATGGTAAGGAGGGATGGTGGTATCATGGCTGTTCCTTGTCTCTCCCCTGCTCCCTTTGGTGTGGCTTGTGCTGGAGGAGAGATTAGGACGTACCTGGAACTGTGCTTATGGAAAGCCGTGGACTGCTGTTCAACCAAAGAGTGCAAGAGAAGACAAGCTTTTTTGTGCCCTTGCCTCCCCTTGAATTCCCTTGAACTAGCTGGTCACAATAGAGCCATTGAGAAAGAGCCTTCCTTGCGGAGATTGCAGTAGATTCCATTAAGATCCTATAGCTTGCCACTATTGGCATCTACTGGTCTCTGTTGATTTCTACTAGCCTCTGCTGCTTTGTTGCCCCCAAGAAGCAGTGGAGCAACAGGCCCTTTCCAAAATCTATTTGTCAAATATTCAACATTTTTCAGCTGGAATTTCCACTTAAGCTATGGACATCTTTCTGGACACATACCCCTTAGATCTTACCTAAAAAAGTCATGACCCTGAGCACATCTACAAGAATTCCCAGGAAAGGACTGTGTAGCAAAGTTTTATTTTTAAAGCCTTAAATAATGTAGGAGCATTGCATTCTGAGGAACTTTCTCTCGTGCCATCATGGATATGAAATTGGTGAACCAGTCGTATAATCTACTAGGGTCAGTGACTCTGGCACACTCTTGCTTTTTTCACCACAAACCACATTTGTGACATCTTTTTGGGCAAGGCTGGCTCCAGGCACCATCTTAACAAGCAGGTGCTTGGGGCGGCCAAGGGAGAGGAGCGGCATGTGCGGCAATTCGGGGGTGGCAGGTCCCTCACTCCCTCTAGGAATGAAGGGCCTGCCGCCGAACTGCCGCCGCCGATTGCGGCTTTTTTTCCCCCCCAATTGCCGCCACCGGGGTCGCGATTGCGATCGCGGCTTTTTTTTTTGCTTGGGGCGGCAGAAATGCTAGAGCCGGCCCTGTTTTTGGGTGAGCCCCAAGACATTTTGTATCCTTTTTAGCTTTATGTTTCTGAGGTGTTTTGGTTTAGTTATTGCATCTCTGGGGATGGATTGCAGAAAGGGTTGGGTATTTTTTTAAAATCATTTTTACACTGGCTTTAGTATTTATTTATCAGGCCATTTCGTCCTTGGTTTTGTTTAAGGTATATCTCTATATTTTGTTATAGATTCTGTTGTGTTAGGTGCCCAGAGGCCTTTGAGCACTGTGTGCTCTATAAATAAAAATGTATTATTATGTATTATTAAGCAGGAACTGCAAGAACCCACTTTATCATTGCCGCAGAGCAGCCTGTCTTTCCCAACCAGATACATTTGTGAAAGTCATATAATCTCCTCCCCTGGTAATTATGCAACCTAAAAATGCTTAAAACAGGCCAAATTTAGGGCATGATCCTGATGCTGGTTTCTGAGAGATGCTGAAGGCTTACAGTTCCCATTGACTTCAATGGGATTTCAAGATGTTGAGCACCACTCAGGGAAGCACTCGGCTCTTTGCAAGGTTGGGTCATTAACACTACACACAAATCGCCTATACAATAAAAATATTAAACAAAAGACATGCAAGCAGATTTATGCCAAGTGTAAAATGGTCAGCAACAATAGCAGGATAAGTCATGTGTGTGACACAAAAGAAGGGGGAGTGGGGAGGCACAAAACCACGTTTTTAACATTTTCAGCCTAATTACTATTTCTTAACAACAAACATTCCATCACAGCTAATGTCAATATGGTCATATTATTCATCTCAGTTCTAGTGTGTTTTGCTTATGAACCATGAAAGAATCAGCCCTATTCAAACCCAAGTTAATTGAATTCCAAAACAAGAAAGAGTCTTTCCTAACTTCCTACCCTTCCTGAAGAACTAGAAAAGGGTCAAACAGATTTAAGAAGTCATTTAAGAGTATGTTTTCATTTATCTCAGCTCTACTCAGGGGAACTCTGTTCCAGATGGTAACCTTAACCCTTTCCAAAAACCTGTCTGTTGTTGGAC